GCCTTCGGCTCAGGTCATGATCCTGGAGTCCCGGGATCGAGTCCCGCATCGGGCTCCCTGCTCGGCGGGGAGTCTGCTTCTCCCTCTGACTCTCCTCCCTCTCATGTTCTCTGTCTCTCATTCTCTCTCAAATAAATAAATAAAATCTTTAAAAAAAAAAAAAAAGAAGTGCCAAAAAAAAGAACAAATGAAAAAACTTCCCACTTAATAAAAAGGATTGCAAGGTAGCAAGCTAAGGGGGGAAAAGACCCCCCTCTTCTTAAGAAAATTATATATGTAAATGTATAGTCTCTTCTTAAGAAAATTATATATGTAAATTTAGGAAAATTATATATGTAACTTTATTACATATTGTTATATGTACACATACACACACACACACATATATGTAACTTTCATTTTTCCCTTTTGAATCTAGCAGCAGAGGGGATTTCTTCCTGTACATGGCTATGTGCATTTATTTACTCTTAAGGACATAAACCCTTTGCATGGACTCCTAGAATCCTTTGGCTATCACATAGGTGACTATGCTGATTGTGTGACTCAGGGACCTACAAGGGGTGGCAGGTTATGGAATGAGCTGAATATAGTTTATGTGATGTTCGTAAGGACAGGAAATAAGATGCGTAGAGTCTTAGGGCCTTCCAGTGAGGACATGGGGCACAGATGATTTAATAGCAACTTGGCTAGGGTGCCCGGAGTAAATTGTTTTCATTCTCTTTACTGTTATACCTGGTAATTTGCCAGGGTAACAGGTGAAAATTGATGAGGGGGGTGGTGATTTCTAGGACATAGACCAGAAGAGCCAGGAGTTCTGAATTCCTTTGGCAAGAGCTTTGTCTCATGGGGTGCGTTATACTGTAATACTCCTGGGCAGTACTTTTCAATTTATTTCTATAAAGAAAGATGGTAATGGTTCCAACAGGCTGAGTTTATGCTACAAATGTGTTCATGGGGCAGTAGGTAAAGATGCTTCATAATGCAATTATTATTAGATTTTCCATGAATCTGGACATGAGATGTTCCACATGAAGGTAACTTTCAGGCAAATCTATTTCGAATTTTATTTCCTTTAGAAAACCTCTAATCAGAGGCCTCATGATAAATGGGAGGGGTCATCTTATCTGTCAGTCAGGCTTTATAGGATTTTATAGAACTTCATAGAATTTCTACTACATCCTGGGTGGGGTTGCTGAATACAACACCCAAAGAAATCTTTGTCCTTGAAGAATATAAAGAGAGGAGCAAGCAGGAAGAAATGCATCACTTCCTAATTTCCGAATATAAAATTAGTGAAAATATGACCTAGTCAGACACATACTTACAGATATAGACTATAACGAGAAAAGGATTAGACCAAAGAGCCCACTTAACAATGAAATTGTATTTCTCAGATAGTATATGCCATTTTCTATAAATAATTGACTAGAGTGATTAAAAAAACTCTTTAAAAGACTATTAGCTAGTGTTTCTTAATGTAATGTTTTTAATAATGTGTTGCTAACTAGGAATTAGAATTATAAACTCAAGGAAAGCTAGTTTTTCAAAAAATAATTTCTAGAAAGGAGTAGGATTTTCAACATGCTATGGGTCTAAAGGCTTGCCCTGCTGTCCTTTGTTTTCCCTGTGGATGGGAGAGAAACAAAGACACGAATCCATGCTCTTTGGCCTCACATGTGATGAGCATTGTCTCACTTGGGGTTTGGTCTTTCATGGGGTTTGTTAATCCTTGCAAGCTTTATTTCCAGCCCAGCTTCATTTCTTCAGTTTGTTTGCATCTCTCAGAAAAGAGCCTTTCTTGTAGGGCTACTCCATTCTCCAAAATGAGATTATGCCTCTGGGCTAAAGGCGCAGAAAGCAAGGGGTAACTAAAGCAGACCACTGAAATATTTCCCCACCACTGCCCTTCTCTAAAGCAGAGTTTAAGATTTCTGGGGAGAGGGGCACCTGGGTGGCTCAGTCATTAAGCGTCTGCCTTCGGCTCAGGTCATAATCCCGGGGTCCTGGGATCGAGCCCCACATGGGGCTCCCTGCTCGGCGGGAAGCCTGCTTCTCCCTCTCCCACTCCCTCTCCCACTCCCCCTGCTTGTGTTCCCTCTCTCGCTGTGTCTCTCTGTCAAATAAATAAATAAAATCTT